AGCATCACTTTGGCTCGACACTGTTGTTTGTCGTACGGACAGACTCTAATAAAGATGAAAGTCAGACAAAAGTGCTTTGTCACGATTCATCACACTGTCACTTGACCAGTGCAGACAGTAAAACAGCGGGAACTTGACGATTTAGGAGGCAGAATTCTCCAGCAAACACAGTTGGTTGTATTAAAGGTCGGATTGGGGTGAAATAATGGGGGTAAGAAAGAGGAGAGTTGTTGTTTGCTTAATTGTTGAAAGAGAACAAAGCTTATGCTGCAGGGAAATAGATTCAGGCAAACCGGATGTCACGTTTGTGGATCAGAGCAGGACGATAAAATTAGGTGAGTCCGGCAGAGAATACCGGTAAAGGTAACTGCTATCTAAAGTTAAAATGTTTTAACCTTTTGATTGTCCTCCAAAACACAATTTAAAACCAGATTTTACCAAGCTACCTCACACAAGGACAATCTGGACAACAGGATGCAAATAATTTAATTACAGAAAATAATATATGTGTAATTTATTTTATATATTTTATAAGCATAGCAACATATTGTCATGCATGTTCATAGACGGTTTGTGCTGAAGCCATGTGGATACAACATAAGGCTGTGAATTTACATTTCATTCGTTTTTAGTGGGAACTTTGACGTAGCCTCGTAATCAGACAGAATTGTGACTGGATTGTGATTCACAGGCCTGGAACCAGGCTAACTTTGACCTGTGCATGGTGAAAAGTCAGGACATAACCAAAGTGGAGGTTTTCTTTTATGACCACTGTCGCTTGTAAACCTGTGGTGTTTCATGCTGCTTCCAGTCGTGGTGTTCTCTCCATTTGATATAAATGTTGGATTGGGCCTTACTGTCCTCACACTCCTTCTGGATCGGGTCAATTAATTTACCCATGTTGTTCTCTTTGTGTAGCATGAAGGGACTGCAAACTTTCATTTCGTTGTATGACCTTGTGTCATAATGATAAATACATTCCCTTGTTCCTTGTTGTTTGGGTAGATTTTCCACAAGTCTGTTTTAAAAATCGAACCTTTGAAGAGTTATGGCAAATGTTTCAGTGAATCTATCACTTAGTTGTCCTAACTGTTTCCTTTTGCACCAAAGCGTTAGACTGACCAACATTGCACCACATTCTGTCTTAAACTACACAGGTGTGGACACAAACAAAGTTTATCTTCCTAATAACACTCTTGTTTATAACATTCCCTGAACTCCTTTAACACTATGCCTATCCCTCACTCCCCTACAGCTTCCCAGGAAGGTGTGTTTGTATTCCACCAAACCCAAGCAGGGGAAATGTTCAAAATACAAATGCTAAACAGGCTTTTTATTCAAGGATTTTTGCCTGACGTGTTTTCCCCCTACACTGTGAGAAAATAAGAGAAAGTCTGAACACCTTTTTAAACAAGCAGGTAAACCCTCCACTCCAATGTGTCACCCTCATCAACTGCAGGCAAGCATGGTGTCGAGATGCCTGCCTGGTTGTTCTTGTCAAGACTTTTCTTATCAGGCCCGGGCTTTGTTTCCTGTCTTGCTGAGTTATAAACCTCAGCTTTTGTGGATGTGTCGGGAACAGACGAGACCAAGCTTTCTGAAAGCAGCAGGGTGACGAGGTGGTCGAGAAATCACAAGTTCTTCCTCATCCTTGAACCTCTGCCTTCTAACTCTTATGTCACACCATTTTTATTTATTTTTTTAAGTTATTTTTTTGGCCTTTTCATGCCTTTATTTGATAGAGACAGCTGAAGATCGACAGGAAAGGGGGGGTAGAGAGAGGGGATGACACGCAGCAAAGGGCCCCAGGTCGGATTCGAACCCGGGCCACTGCAGCAACTCCATATATGGCTCGCCAGCTCTACCGACTGAGCTAACCAGGCACCCTATGTCACATCATTTTAAGAGATGTTAAGGCTTGTCCTGGAAAGAGAACCAAAGAAAACTTACAAGTTATTTTGACAAGTCTTTTTCAGTTAGCAGCAGGGCTCTATGGCAATGTTGGTCTTTCTGTCAGCTGGTCTACTACTTAGGTCCAGATTGAAATAGCTCAACAACTGTTGCATGGACGTTTGGTCCAAATCCGTGCTGGAGTACTCGAGTCTGGACGTTTTTTCAACTGTCTCATCCTCCTTGTCTCGGACTTGTTGGTATTTGCATTCGGACTTGTGTCGAACTTGGCCATTAGCCTCAGGGTTGGTTAGTTCCTTTTTTTTTTAAATACAACTGTTGATGAAGCTTGCTTGTTCAGAAAACGGGTATCGGTTTAATTCAGAATCCATCTACAACGGGCATTGACATTGGTTGCCTGGTAACCAAGGTTACCAAGTGGCCCACCAATGTCACCTAGTACGGCTGCCAAAAGTAATCTCATTGGCAACAGCAAAATCATTCTTTTTTGTTTGTCTAGGTCTTGACTGTGCATCTCTCATTTGGACTTGGCCTTTTCTTTTCTCTTTCTTTTCTTTTTGTAGTTTGTTCTGCAAAATATATAGTCCAATCTTATACTATAATTAATGTGGCAATGATTTACTGATGGTGGAATACTACAGGTGGCATTAACACAATTTTCATTATTTAGTGAGGAAGTTAATTAGGGTGACTGCGGTGCTTTAAGTAGGACTAATTTTGCTTCCCTCACTGTTAATTTAATCCCATACGGTGGCAGCTTGTGTTTGGCGAAATGAAACTTTACAGTCACACTTGAAAATGACTCTGCTGGGACAATTATAATTAAGTTTGCAGGGGTTGTAACCTCACCACCACTTTTATAATTTCCAAACCCGATAACTGACGCATGGATACATCCAATGGTCACCAGTCACAATCCCAGTCAAGATGAGGTTCAGCTGTGCAGCAGAGGGAGCATGACGAGCTGCACAGCTGTGTCTGATTCAGTTGAAGGATTCATACGTTTCCCTGCTGAATTTTTTACATCAGCTCATGCTTGAATATTTTGAGTGAGTGGGGGAAGAGAATAGTTGTGATGCATTTTTTCATTTAAACTAATTTTATAAATTGATTTGATGAATACTGATTGTTCCAAAAGTGCCTTGGACCACAACAGCTAAACCTCGTGCATGACTATTCTTGGCAGTGATTAGAGCCGTGGCTGCAGGCCAACGAACCAGAGATCAACATCATGAAGTTTTCTGTCATTACTGGATTGTGGAAACAAGAGCTAGCAGTCATGCCAGCAGTTCTGTGAGGCTCTGCCATTGACATATAAAAGATGATCGTTGCATCTTTACTTCATTGTCAATCATGACGTCAAACCCCCTTTATAGCTTCAAGAAACGAATTAAAGCCAAACTTATCAGAAAAATGAACACCTGAACATACATTATTGTTATAAGGACTACTTAAAGTCACCTAAATGAAGCCATCTTTGGGAAAAATGTATTTGATGTGTATTTTGATTTCTTTAGTTTGGCCCATGTCCCATTTGCTAACATGGAGGCAACAGGCTTTATGACCTATACTGCAGTCAACCACTAGGGAGCAATCGAGATCACTTCACTTTTGGAGAGCTTTCATGTCGTCCATCTTTATGTATGTTGATGGGCTGTATTTATACATCCACTAGCTCACAGCGGTGCTTTGAGCTAAATGCTAACATCAGAATGCTCAACTGATGTTTAGCAGGTAATATTAACTATGTTTACCATCTTAGTTTAGCATGTGAGCATGCTAACATTTGCACTAAACACTAACTAAAGTACAGCAGAGGCTGATGGGAATTACTTATGCAGTTCATAAAGAAGAGTGTCAGAAAACATAACAGTCTGACCTGATGATGGCGCTAAATTAAAGGTCTTGGTAAGTCAACAGACCACAAAGTAATTACTCTTCATCCTCTGGGGCCTTTAAATATCTGTAACCAGATTTCATGGCGATCTATCCAGTCTGTCCTAAGTTATTACACTTAAAACCAAACATTTAAGCTATGTGGTACTAGAGAAGTCATCAGGATTCATCCTCTGAGGACCATGAATGTTTCTAATTCAATGGCAATCTGTCCAACAGTTGTTAAGATACTTCCCTCTCTTGAACCACGACAATATTGGACTAAAACACAGAAAACAGTTGGGGCTATTTTTGTAACTTAATTCAGGCCATTAACATGGTGTACAGTTTGTAGTTAATTAGAAAGTTCCTCCAAAGGTGATATGAAAAATTTACTGCATTTATGCTTTTTTATTTATTTATGCCGCAGCCTGAATGAGCTACAGCTTCTGATAAACATTGCATTGCGTTGCGTCTGTTTAATATTTCAGTATGTTCTCATTACAGCGTATATCATATTTGCTTTTTTCCCCAAAAATCAAAGCTTTATTAATTTTGAGGTTATTTTTTACTTTAAACTGAAAGTTTTAATGTTCCTTTAGAAGTTGTGCAAGTTTAATGACTCTGGAGCCCATTAAATCAATTCAAAATCAGCAAGGAATTCTGTAAAAATGTATGGTAGTCAGACTGGACTGTTGGTTCATCTGACAGAGAACCTATGAGACAGACAGTTAGATTTAGAGAGATTTTCTAATGCAATGAAAATATAATTTTTATATTTCTTTCATTACGCCATATCTCAGAAAACTGTGATTAGTGCTCATTTCTTTGCGGGCAGGACTGAAAAACTAGTCTGAAAGCAGTTGAAGCTTTAGTAATTTCAACTATCTGCACTACATGCAGACCATGGCTACTTTCAGATTAAGGGTTTGATTATTTGACAGGGTTCATTTGTATCAGTCGATATGTAGGATGGATCTGTATTTTAATGAAGCTGTGAGGGAACTTGAATGATCTCACAGTCAGGAAAATCGACCTCGGGATTTAGATAAATCATTATTCTGCCATAATACACGATTGTGAGATTTTCTGATTATCTTTCCCAGTTAATCACATTCAAAAAAATCAAATATGGTACAGTTCTCATACTTGCAGTCTCCCACGCATGATATCCATCTAGCTGTCTTCTTTCTCCCTCCTCCTCTCCTCTGCAGGAGGATATCAAACTCCTGGCTGAGCACCGGCTGGTTCACTATGACCATCGCCCTGGAGCTGTGCGATAGGATCAATGTCTACGGCATGGTTGCCCCGGACTTCTGCAGGTGAGACAGTGGTGCTGAATGTAAAACATCACCATCAACTCACCATCAAGCACCATCAGTAAGACTTTTTAAAGCAGAGCTATACAGACAGCCACTTCAAGTGTATACAAATTCACAGCAGCACAGCCGCCTGATAAGAAATATATTCAGGCAGCTGATAAATAAAATGTCAGTGTGGCTGGAGATGTTTTGAGAATTCTTAAATTGCCGGAATATTGGTAAGAAATAAATGAGTAAACAGGGCTAGCGTTACAGACTTTGACACTTGCTTTTTATATATACGAGGGGGGGGGAAGCAGAGGTCTCACTCTGCTCCGTTTTCTGTCCACAACAAACCTCGTTGTACAGTGGGTCAGAATGTGTTAACAATGCAAAAGTTTTGAAATATGGCTTTGTTGCACACATATTGGGTTTTTTTAAAAACGGTCTTTATCAGTAGACAAGACATCTCTCTTAAGCCTCCTTATGCAGGAGCCTGGAAGGTGAATTTGGGAAAATTCAGCTCACCTGCTCTAGTTCCTTGCTACACTACTTAAGCTAGTGGCAATCAGTCTCCCTTTCTTTCTCCTGGATTTGTTCACCTTTCTTATTTAGTCTTACTTGTTTTGTTTGTCACATTGCAGCATCACCACAGCCCTTTTCCCGTCCTAAACTCAGGCTAAAAAGGTTGTATTTCTTGGATGAATTTAAGATAAAACAGGCTTTGTTCACCCGTTATGATATATTCTGGATTATTCAGTGGAAATTATTCATGGGAATGCAGACTTCTGAATTTCCAGTTCATGAACTGGAACACAGCTTATGTGAAGTATGTGGACTTACCATGAGGGAAAACACTTTAGGCTGCATTTTACTTGAGTGATTCCTCTTTCAAAATAGTTTTTTCCTTTATGTTTTGGTCAGGTTAAAACATCCACTTTGTAAAATCGCCAACTCTGTCTCACCTTCAGCTTATTCTTCACTTTACTCTTCTTTCTTTTTGGTCAATGTTCCATCACATTACAACATTTACTGGCATATCTTTCTATTGACAGAATACTGTAAGCATGAAATTAGCATTCCAGTGCAGGAATAAAATGTTACCGTTGGTTAGCACTTACAAATATGGTCCTCAGTCCAATTTACATACTGAAATGTTGAAAAGATGCGCAATGAAGTGGAGGTAAAAGTGAAAACTTCCTTATATATCATCTGTTTCCCCCTACAGATGATTTGGTTTGAACACTTTTTCTGCAGTGATAGTTGTTAATAAACTGCAACAGCATCAGCTATTATTGCGTTAGGAACATTACTAATGTTAATACCAGTAAGCTAATGAACTATAATCTTCCTGTGAAAGCCATGATTCTTTTCATGAAACTTTTTTGTCCATCAAGGTTACAGAGAAAAGCCAAAGAAAATTCCCTGTTATTGGGCGAAAAAATTCATGTCAAATTATGAGTTGCAGTTTTTACTCGGCAGCAATAACCAAAATAAGGTTTCTTCAAGTGGACTTGGTGGGTGACACTGAAATAGAACTTTAACTAATTACCAAATGAACTGCAAATGACTACAGTGAGTACTTTGTCATGACTTAATTAAACACAAAGGGACTCTCACTCACATAGCCACAACAAATGCCAAAATGCAGAATGAAAGCATCCAGGTCTGACTGCTAGTTGCCACGGTGACAGAGTAATTGGCAAAAGCAAAGCATGGATTCAATAATTATTTCCCTCTATATTTACTGTACATTTTCCACTTTAGAAACCTTAGAGATTTTATCTTTTTTAATAAAAAAAACCAATGAATTCTGGCAGATAAAACGCCACAGAACTGCGAAGAATTATGGGATAGGTAGCTGGTTCTGACTCTGTAATGCTCCTAGCAACTAACTCATCCAGCCTCATTAGCAGAGTTTAATGGTTTGAATTACAGCTCACGTCTCATCCATCTCAGCCAACACTTTAATTGGGGGATGTTATTGGACAAGGAACAAATCTTATTAGATTTCTCAATAAAAAGAACAAACTGTAAAATCTTCAGTATATCTTTGTTCTTAGTTGTGACTGATTACAGAATTATATTTTATTTTTGGGGTTTAGGCACAAATTCAATCTTGACGATAATGAAGAGGGAATGTTGGTTCTTTTCCTTAAACAAATGGTTGGCTTAAGCTGATACTCAGCCATCCTTTTAGTTCTTATAACAAGAGAAGTCTGTAGATTTTACTGGATGCGATCCAGCTGAGAATTTAAAAACCATGTTTCTCTTAACATCACGTCAAATATGTTTTATGGACATGAAGGGTAGATATTAATATAGCCAAAGCATTAATAAATAACCAATACATATAAAAGATGCATCAGCTGTTATATTATCAGAAACATGTTTTTTCAATGCCCTCCTCCTTTCTCATTTTAATTTACGTCCTGAAATTGTTTTCTATGTTGTTAAACTGCTGCTTGCTGTTTTTAAAGTACCCTCATTTTCTTTTTTCTGAAGAACACTTTTAAAAAGTGTGATGACTCATGAATGAAACAGTGTTCGTAATGACTTCTTACAGAGTACTAAGTCACTTCATCTGACCTGTAATTTTCATTTAATGGTCCTTTGTCTCAACCCTCGTTAACTGCTGTTTTAAAAATGCTACAGGTGAGGTGTGTCTTTTCACCGGGTTAGTTTTAGGTCTTTTAGATGGAATGACATAAAACAATACTTGTCACTTTTCATGACATTTTATTACTTGGTATTGACCAATTAACAATTTCAATTTCACCAAAATCAAGTCTTTTGTACATGCCATTTAAACAAAGAAACATATGAGCTGCTCATTCAGTAGAACATGGTGGAGAAAATGCATCTTCAAGTCTCTAAAGAATTGAATAAACAGGACAACAGAAAACCGTGCTTATGGGAGAACGCCACATGACCTTCGACAAAAAGATCCCCCTTTGCTGTAATTCACACTCTCTCATGTGCTATTGAAGCATTTTGAGAGAAGCACACATACAATATTCTCTTGACAGCTGGATTCATTTGTTTTTGCTACAAGATAATATTGAAAACCCTTTTGCCATCCAAAATGCATACAGTCCGTAGTCCTGAGGTATGTCGACTGTCGTACTGTCAATGGTAGGCTCATACTAATAAAAAACAGATGTGGAAACAGACACAGATTTGAGAAGTTTTAAATATATAATAGTATGGTCATTAATATATGAAGATAAATGACTCTATGGACATCTTGACTGGGGCAGAATTACCTATGACAGACAGATCAGGGTTCAGTGTGTGTGTGTGTGTGAATATTATGTCAGCTGGTCTGGGGAAAAAAAAGATAATTTAATATTAACAAATTCAAGGACATAAATTGTTTAAAATGCAAGCATAAGAGGTCTATTTTTAAAATAATTAATTCAAATGGAAAAGCAAGGAGTTGTTATGAAAAGCCAATTATGCTGTCAGCAGCATCATTAGAGAAACGCTTTATGGCCAAAAGTATGTGGACACACATCAACAGGGAATCTTAATTCTACAATGTACAATGATATTTTTGGGGGTAGTTTGGAGAGGGCTGTTTCCTGTTCCAACATGATGTGCACAAAGACAGGTTCATAAAGAAATGGTTTTCTCAGCTTGGTGGGGAAGAGTTTGACTTGCCGGCACACAGCCCCGATCTGAACCTTATCCAACACCTTTGGGATGAAGTGGAAGGCCGACTGTGACCCAAAATAACCCAGCATCAGTGTTGGACCTTATTAATGCTCTTGTGGCTTAATGGGAGCAAATCCCTGCAGCCAAGTTAAAAAATATTGTGTAATGCCTTCCCAGAAGAGCAGAGGCCCTTTATTTTACTTAGCAGTGTAATGTTTAGGTGTCCACATAGATTTGGCCATGATGTTTCCTTTTTTTTTTTTCTGTTTTAATGTTTTACTGTCCTGTAAAGATAAGATAAGGCTTTATTGATTTCCACAAGGGAAATTTAGTTGTTGCAGCAGCATGAGGACAGAAATGAATACAGATAAACAGATAAAAAAAAATTATAATTAGAGGTATATTAAACAGAAATAAGAAGTACATATGTAAACTATACAAGAGAAATTAAAAGACTAAATTAAAAGGCAAGAATGACAATGGTTTGGTTGATAGCAGCAAAGTCAACAAGTATATGTCAACAGCGAACACCAGACTAATATATAATATTATTAATGATACTGGGTGTGTGGGTCTGTAATAATAGAATAGAATGTATAATGTGATAAACATGTAACACCTTCCAGGAAGTTGCAAACGCAAATTCAACCAATCCCTGTGAATTCTGCACAACCTTGCAATTGTGTACAATAACTACAATTTCTAATGTGTAATAATCTAGTATCTGCATGTCACAATTCTGTCAGTAATGTAGAGGGGGCACAGAAAAAAACAAGTTATTCAAGTGTTTTTACCTTGTGTCTTGCTTAAATTTTATGCATATACATTTTATTTTTTTATTTTATTTTTTCATATTTAGTTTGTTTTTGTTTCTGCATGTCCATATTTTAGATTGAATCTGTGTGTTTTGGTGAATGTGTGGGAAATTGTGTTATTTGAAGGTTGTTCTACGACAGAATAAAAGGAACTCAAACAAATCTTAATAAAGGAGGAGGCTGGGGAGGTGGAGGAAGGCGTTTCTGAAATAGGTAGCAGCAATGATGCAGAACTCAGTGTTGCTTCATTTAGACTGAATGAGTAGCAAATGTTTATATGGACCACCTATATCGTGAAAGAGAAGACCAGCACAATTGGAGGCTTTATTTTTAGCTCTTTAATTATTCAAGCTCATACACAACTCTTTTTTTTTTTTATGTTCAGCTGCAGGTGGCATTTGAATATTATTACAATCAGCTAAATTTGGCTGCGTTAAGCCCTCCAAAGACAAATAAATGAATGCAGATCAAGTCCCCCTCCTTCACCACAAAATGAAAAAGTCTCTGTGGTGTCACATGAAACTCAAGAGACTCATTAAAGCATTTTCAAATGTCAACTGTCTGTCCTCTGTCACCACCACTGCAGGGAGCCTCAGCACCACTCCGTTCCCTACCATTACTACGAGCCACGTGGTCCGGATGAGTGCGCCATGTACATTTCGCATGAGCGCGGGCGGCGGGGAAGCCACCACCGCTTCATCACGGAGAAGCGGGTCTTCGCCAACTGGGCACGGACTTTTGACATCCACTTCTACCAGCCGGACTGGAGCCCCCCACCGCTCCCAGCCAACCGGACGGTGGAGGGGACGGTCACAGCGGCGCCCCTGGTACCCCAGAAGACGTGACTGGTGTCTGGGTGAAGAAAAATGCTTTAGAGTTTCATCTCAGAAAGGATGAGGAACATTTGCACTGAGGGCTTCCGGACCCTAAACAGAAAGGATAAAACATGAAGTAGGCAAGAAAGTAGTTACCACAGATTTAATAACTGGGTCTTGATGATCCTGCTGGACATTTTTACGAACATTTCTCCAGCTCCACCACTGCAGCTCCAGCAGTGTGCTTTGTTTACGGAGGTGAAGCACTTCAAAGTTGTACGTCAGTTTTTGAAAACCTTGTAAAGTGAGGGTAATACACTGGAGGCAACATCATTACACACTCCACTCTCAATGCATGCATGCAGTGTCTTACTGTGGATCCTCCTTGTCTTTGTGCATACGTGTGTGTGTGTTTGTGTGAGATAGTGTGTATGCATATGTTTACTAGAGGGATGACAGTGGGTACAAACTTGAGTTTGGGCTCTTCACAAAGCCTCTGTTGGATGACGGATCTATGCAGGACTCACTGCTTACAGTTCACTGATAGAAAAAACTTTTACAATGCCCTTAATCTAAGTGCTGGAGACGATGTATGCTGAATCCTAAAAATACTTACGCTTTTGTTAAATTTGGCCCTTTTTAAAGTATGAATTGTAACTGTAACAGTTTATATTCTCCTACGAGCAAGTTGGATGAGATTCTTTAGACTGCTGTGTCATGCAACAAAGGCTTAAACTCCGTCAAAGCAAGTATTCACTTCCCCGACTTTAATTTATACTGCCTTTCAGTGTGTGAATTGTCACCCAAGTCAAACTTTGCAATGCTGCACTTTCTGAATGACAAGTGTGTAACATTAACCCAGAGGTTTTATCTCATGCGTGTGCCCCCCCTCAGCCCTCTATGTATGTATCATAAGGCTTTGTCGGCTCCTGTCAACAGTTAATAGCGCGATTTATATAGCTACAAGCTGGATTTCCATGTAAATGCACAGCTGTGTCACACAAGACAAGTGGGAGATTAAGATCGAGAGCAGGGATGTAGTAGCAGCATCCATCCTACTATATTCATCTGCTGCTGCTTCCGAGAGCCTCAATCGCCTCGCAGGAGAATTACACCGTTTTTTTGTTAAACTGATGAGTATGTGATCTGTCACTCTTCTCCTTTCTCAATCCCGATTGTGTTTTATGTGCCTCTCATTTGATGGAGTATATTCTGCTTGTAGACTGCCCCTTTCTCTCTCTGAGATCCTCTGTTTTCCCCTGTTTTCCCCTGTTTTCCCCTGCTCTCCTTGAATAAGAATCCGATTGTCAGTCTGGACAAAGTGATGAGACGTGCGGTTATAGTAATGATACATCCTTGTGCTCAATCCCCATTGATTTTGCCCTCATCTCTGTAATGTGAGTAATGAGAAGAGAGATGCTATGGGTCAGATACATACAACACGAGAATGTGTTTCACATCATGTGGTGGAGATGAAGACCCGTCTGCTTTGCTGCAGCAGAGGTGCTACTGCACTGGCTCAGAGTCGTGCTGCTACATTTGTACGGTAGGAAAGACCAAGACGTGTGTATGTTTTCCAGAGATGTTGACTCATCTGCGAGCAGCTGTGCACAGTGGTCTGTATTAGCAAAGTGATAAGCACTTGAATATCTTTGTTTTTTGCCAAATGAACTGAATCACAGTATGTTGTTTAGGGCGGCAACTACTAACTGTTTTTGTTTGATGAATTGTTTGGTCTTTAAAATGTCAGAAAATTGAAGAAAAATGCCAATCACAACTTTCTCAGAGACCAAGGTGACATTTTCAGATTGCTTGTTTTGTAAAAACATCAGTTCAAAACCTTAAAGGTATTCAATTTACAATGAGATAAAACGCAGCAGATCCTTACATGTGACAAGGTGGCAATTTGAAATGTTTTCTTCATAAATAACTTTAAGGAATGTTTTGATACGTTGTAAAATTATTTCTGTTCTTTCAAAGTTAGGTGAAAGGATTGATACAGTTTTCATGTCTGAACAGTAAAAGCAGACAGCAGTCGGTTAGCTTAGCTTAGCATAAAACAGGAAGCAGCAAACTGCAGTTCTTTAGCCTCTCTTAAACGTTGCAATACACATTATGTCCTTTAAAAAACATTGCAACATGTAATGGAGTTTTCAATGTTTTGATAGTAAAGGTTGCTGACCGTGGTATAAATGATCAAATAAGACAATTCACTGTTTTACTGACTGTTTCTTGATTCCAGGAAGTTCCGGATCCCAGCCAAGCACATAATCCCCCATAAAAAGTTGAATTGTCCTTTTTACCTTTACACTAGTTTTTGACAACAAACAATATCTAATATATTTATTAGCTGTAAAGGTGCTGGTGGATTTTGCTATATTGGACGGGGCGGGACCAATTATTTTACCCCGTTTCCAGTTTTGATGCTAAGCTAAGAAGCTGCTAACTGCAGTTATATATTTGTGTTATCAACTGTGGTATCAATCTAAACAATCTCTAAATTATATTTCCAAAATATCAAACTATTCCTTTAAATCGATTAATCGGTTATCAAATAAAATTTTATGTTAATCGACTAATTGACGAATCATTTCAGCGCTAATGTTGATCTGTTTTCTTCTCTTTTTGCACATAATGGAAATGTATCATTCCACTCAATAAAATACTTTTTATCAGTAGTCTTGCATTCAGCAGTTTGTGAGTAAAAATGCGAGAAATACATTTGAATATTATCTCTGTATGTGTGTGTAGTTGCCCCCAGAAATGAAGACGAAATGTGGAGGTTTTGTGGAGGATGGGAGGCCAGTGACTCACCTTCACTCTCCACTGACGACAGCTGCCATTTTTACTTTTCAATCTCTCCGTTCCTGCCTGCTTGTGACATCAGGCTGTGTCATACTGAAATAATAATGAAACACAGGCAGACCTACAAGGCCATAACTCCCCGGAGCTACAAACAGATCCTTGACCGTCTTCATAACTGAGGGATGGAGCATTTTTTTGTAAAATAGCAACTGACACATCACCTGAAGATAAAGCACATAGATCAAGGTAACATTATAAGATGATGAAGGGAAGTATTCAGCAGAGTGTCATGAACACTTGGATTATTAGACAGTTGAGTTCAATAAAATGTACTTCATAAGCATTTAGGATGATTGATGGTTCATCATAAAGTATAATATCAAAAACTATGAACAGGGCTGAAAAATAAGTTTTTCTTTTTTTTTCTTTTCTAATGCACACAAAAATACTAAGTTATAATAATATCAGAGCTGAAACTAACCATTATTTTCCATTATCAGTCAATAGTTTTCCCCCAAGTCAAGGTCCACTTATTGACTTTTTCTGGAGCTTTCAACCACAACTTAGTTTGCACAGTAGATGGAGTTTGCTCAGTTGTTGCAGATGCAGGTAATGACGGGACCAAAAAAACATTAGTTAAGTGGGGTTTTGGTCAAAATTAGGAACCGTCACCTTATTGTCATACAAGTCAACACATTGAAGATAAGTTTTAATTGAAAAGCAATCTCACCTCAAGTTCCATTTAGCAGCTGTTCCAGAGCTTTCAGTTGTATCGTACAATCTTCCTCAGAAGGAGATTTGTCGTTGAATTTACAATATTAAAATTTCTATTTTTTTCTGAGCACTTTCAAGACTTTTATGTTGAGACTGAAAGTTCATTCTTGAATTTGGAAACAGTAGTTGGTATAATGATCTAGTACTGCCTCCGAGGCCAAAAATGCCACATACCAAAATGATTTCTTATGTTTAGCTTTGCATACATGTTGTTGCTGCGGTTGCTGTTGTCGCTGCTCGCTGTCCCCTGTCGTTGCTGCTGTCGCCGTCGTCACCGTCTACTGTCCCGTCTTTTTCATGATCGTCATCGATCATACGTTAAGTAGTTGTTGCTTCTGTTGTTGCTGTACATCTGTTGTCTTTCTCTCTGTCTCTCTTGCTCTCTCTCCCCCAAACTGGTCAAGCAGAATGACACACCTAGACCGAAGGGTCTGTCCGAGTTTCTGCCGTTAAAAGCAGTTTTTCCTTGCCCCCGCGCCAAGTGCTTGCCATGTGGTACTGTTGGGTCTCTGTAAATTGTTATACAGAGTTCGGTCTAGACCTGCTCTATTTGAAAAAGTGTCCTGAGATAACTTCTGTTATGAATTGGCGCTATACAAATAAAATTGAAAATTGAATACATTTCAAAGCAATCTGGACATTGAAGAGAAAGCTGTTCATAATAGTGCTTTCTCTGCAAGCAACCATCATCACAGTGCAATCTTTATTTTTGTTTTCTCATGCATAGTTTAAGCAAAAGCCACATTTTAAATATAAATGCACCACTGAGCATGATTTATGCCGCAGCTATTGTTGCAGATTAGAATGAAAATCTGTAACTGCTCAAATTACTATTATCATTCCTGGGAATGATTGACATTACAAAGGCTCACTGACAGGCAAGCAGTTGGAAATCCAGAGTTTCCATGGAAATTGGACAACCTGTCAGACACACACAGTCTCCAAAACAGCATGGGTGTGTGTTTGTGTTTGTAAATCATTAAATTTAGCAAGCTGCCACATGCGGCTAATGTCGGCGTTGTTCCACTTCTAAAGACAAGGAGTGTATGTGTCTGCGCTCACTGGTGAATACCGAAGCTGTTCATTGTTTGAACAACCTATGTGACATATTCAGAGCATCCTGCCTGACTCTTCAGCCTGAAATCTCTCTGCCTCTTTGGAGATGGCTGCTCTAATATTGTCCTGTCACTGGTTTCTCCCCACCAAGTCAGGTGTGAAGGAAGACAGACACTGATCTTTATTAGCATAGGGAAACTATAGTGACAGAGGAGATGGGAGAGTACATCACCACACTGAAAGGCTGAGTATATTCAATTCCATTTGTGAGTGCTCGAGTAAGAATGTGAGGCGCAGAGGAGATGGAGTCAATTTTGAAGTGGGTTTAAGAACAAACAAATCTATCTGAGATAGGGCGGCTTTAATTTCTATTCTATCTGCTGCCAGCCTGGTATGCACCAATTGCACATGGAGACTTGGATCAGAGGGCTGCTCTGTCTTTTGAAATACAAGACTGGAACAGAAAGAAAACAACATTTAAAAACCTCCTTGGATTGTTTGAAATGTTTCCAGTAAGAAAACAACAGAGCAGGTGTGGAAGTCAACTCAAGCAGCACCAATTCTAAGGATGTCTTTGTGGTATAAAATATGCTTAGACTGAGCTCTGCCTGGCATATCTTCAAGGGTTTGTAACAGTAAAAGGCGATCTGGAGGTCTTGAAACAGTATTACAGAGTAATTAAGGAAACTCAATATATAATAATAAAACAGGCAGTTAAAGACACAGTTACATTCCTTTGATCCAGTGTTTCATCTTTATTCAAAATCTGAGCCAATTGAGGAAATAAAATGAGCTTGCTCTCTCAGAAAGGGGAATAAAAGTAAAAGAAATAAGAAAGCAGGAGGAAAAGGGAAGACGAAATAAGCGTTGCATAAATAATGTATAAGAAAAGGTACTAGGTGGCTGACGCAGCAGCTTCCTTCCAATACATATGGTTCAATTTCCAACTCCATCTATTTTCCACTTCAGCCGCAAGGGAGAGTGGCAGCGGGCACCCGACGGGCGGGTCCTCGCGCCAAGGAGCAAAGATAAACTACCGCAAGTTCAATCCATATGCTTTGGGCATCAGTCACTCCCCCCAACAATGAGCCTAATGCAGAGTGGTTACACATGGAGAGAAAAGGGAAGGGGAAAAAGGAGGAAAACGCGTCCCAGCACAGAGGAGATTCATTTGGGACGGCCGGCGGCTTACTAGGTTATCACTCACTTATCGCTGCTGTAGTGCGAGACGTGGAATGGCCGGGGAAATAGCTGTCCATCACCCAGAATACAATCAGTGGAGTACACGGCTGGGGAGCTAATGGATGTTTCCACAGGGAGGGCAATTTGGTGAATGGGAAAGTGGATGGGTCCATCATGCTAGATGGGATTATGTGCGATTGTTATCCTTCACAAGCGTGATATGACGGTCAAGGGGTGTAATGTATATGGACAAGGGAGACATTAAATAGTAATCTCTCCACAGCCCACTCGCAGCCAATCAGCCTGCCCTCGTCCCACATTTTCTTTTTGTGACCGGGCACACGTTTTAAGTAGCACTTAAACAAAAAAGCTGCTGAAATATGCAGAGCAGCGCGCTCTCAAAAATAAATTAAATTCTTATCTGTGGACTCAATTCAGTGCATTTTTAACCAAATCAATGCAATTATGGAATGAACTGACAAAACTGAACTTTCAACATAAAAAGAAATAAATATAAGCTCGAGTCCTTGTCAAAAAGAACACATAAAAGATGAAAATGGCCTTGCAGAGTTGGGGCTTTGCATATCGGATGCATGACTTTCAAGTATTTGTCCCTTCTCACATCACATGCAGGATAATACGCCAATTTGTACATTTCATCAGTAGAGAGCAATCATCCAAAAAAGTTTAAAAAAAGGCAGCAATTGCATCACAGTTTCTGGTGGGGCAGTTGTGGTGCCATAAATCTCCTTTCCAGTTTCAGGAAAATAAGCCTGTCACAAACTGCACATTTCCTCTAATATCCCTTCAATAAAAGCTCCCAATCTGCAGCTTCACGTACTCAGATATCCAGCAGCGTAAACGCTGAGGCCTCAGAAGATGTGTTTGAGGTGCTTCATGCCGTACGTCTTGAAAAACACCAGGAGGATTAGAGTCCACAGGCCCAGGATGAAGCCATCAGGAGGGTGCCAGTCTTTCTGCTTTGGTTTCTGAGGGGAGAAGAGGGGGTGAGATGAGGTAAGGTGAGGTGGGGACAGGGAAGCAAAGCGGGTGGGGGGGGGGAGATTGCAGGTTAGTAATAGTGTGTATATTTCTCCTGTTGAGGCCACCGCTGATTGTTCTGTCATTCACAGAAGCAGGCAGGCGCAGAATCACATATACACTCACTTTATCTCTTCACACACTTTATGTACACTATCTGCTGTCTCACACACACACACACACAAACACAAAGGTTCACACAAAAAGCGGGTGGTAAAGCTCATCAGTACACCTCCCCTGTCTTGTGTTTGTCCCATTCACTGCCACATCATCACTTTGTGTATGATTATACTTTTAAATCTCCCCCGTATTAAACATGCATCTCACAAGGAGCACATTTATATGCTAATGTGGTGGCAATATTCTGCGGAGAGATGAGATTTAACCTCTAAAAAATCTTCCTAACTCCTCTGCTGTCGACAAAGCTATAGATAGGCTGTGAGGACGCACTTAAGAGATTTCTGTTATCCCTCACTACACAAGCTGCCATTATCCAGTCAAGAAATCACCAGTCAGAAAAGGCATCCCCCAAAGCCAATACCCCAGGACTTGGCAAAGAGGATGAAAACACAGCACGCACTCCAAGTCTGCCTGAATCACAAACTGTACACACAACGTTAGGACGACATACAGCGCAGTAAAGCTGCTACACAAATACTTACGAGACCTGCGTGTCTCTAGCCTGCCTGAGCGCTACTACAGTACCCAGTGTAAGTTTACACTTTCTCAAGTACATCCACATCAGCTACACACACACACACACAC